GGGGTTGAGTAACTTATTATAGTTCCAGAATTATTTTTCATTTAGGATTTAGATCCGAAAAGACCTTTTTGTCGCTTCACTTTCTAAAAATTACCTTCTGGAATTTTCTCTGGTTGCCATCATCTACTGAATACACAATAAAATCCTTTATAATGCACACTCGTTATAATGCCATGTTTGCGTTCCATGCTTTTGAAGAGGTGACACTCTAGGTTCTAAGGATACACCATAACTTAGTTATCATCTGTGTCAACTTTTACGGCAAATTATCAATTTAAGTATAGAACAGTATCAAAGATAGAGCAGAATGTTGCATTGCACATATGAGCTCTTTGGGCAAGCTATGAGGAGCTGGATCCATTCATCCCCTTGAGTCCATTACAAGCTAAAATAACAAACCCATAAATTCTAACAGCTCCACTGTGAATATATGTTCTCATCATGGAGGTGTAACATGGCATTTGCATGCCTAACTCAAGTTTTATGTAATACAAAAAATAAATAAATTATGACATAGTTACACAGTATGTGGCACATAGTGGGTCATGGTACGAATTCGAGCATGCAAATCGCCTCTTAGAAAACTTGGCTTCGACGGGGGGTTGCTTGCTTCGGTATGCAAGTTTAGTTAGTGGCACGTTGTAACGTCTATTTCAGTGCGCATAAAGTTTTCCAAAGTATATAATAGAAAACTAGAAACTAGAAAGCTAGTTATGCATTACAATATTTTTTCATACAAAATACTTAAATACTTCTTTTTTATGGAGTTCGTTTCTTTGTCCTGGGTTTTTTTCACATAGTTCGTGCAAACCGAAAATCTATACTACTTATAGAAAAGGATTGGATATCTAAACTTATGACTGGCTTTTTTACCCTCTAAAATTTTGGTAAATCTCAGTTATGCTCATTATATCTAATACATCTTTCATTAAACCCATAACCTCTAATACTATGTACCTCCTCATATTCTAAAGAAGTTTGGACATCCACTAGAATATAATTAATAAATAACAATAACAAAAAATTATTAATGTTATAATATTACCATATATTAAATAATTAATTAATATGCTATAGTTATTTAAACAAGTTTAAGTTAAATTATAATAATTATCCGGAAAATAATAATTTTCATACAACTCCATATTCACAATTTTATTATCAACGCAGTATTTTAATTGTTCAACAAAAGTTCAAAACATAAAAATGTTCACGTGCAAAGACACATGCACTATACTAGTAACTAGTCTTGTGAAAAGTACCTAGAATGGATCTATAAGGTAAAATAAGAATAAACTTTAAGATTTTTCATATTACTATCACAATAATTAAGACCTACTTCATGCTCTATTTAACTATTTTATTGCCATATGATATTTCACTGTCTAATTTAATATTTGATGCACAAACGCTTACAACAGACTCATGATGATGACGTTTAGAAGTAATTCCATTATTTTCTTCTTTACAATGCAAGCAAAAGACATAAAGCCTATTACTTGTAAAGATTCTTACAAATCAGTGACAATCCGCGATTAACAAGGCCTTTTGATTCCTTAAAGAAAACAGAATGCAGAACGATATAGTGGACATTTTCTATTCTCTTCTAATCCTATTCCACCTTATAACGATAAATTTCCAAATATTACATAGGCATTAGATTTCTGAAACAATACTCCCATTCAGACTGAATCCACTGCATTCATGTTGGTCCATAACATTTAGAGTAATTTAAACCAATTATTTTTAATTATTTCCTGATCATCAAGTGATGTTGAGCGGTTAGTAAAACATTAGCAAGTTGTTTGGATTCCTACTATCTGGAAACTACAATCTGAAAAGATGAACAAGATCTTGACCTCAACACTAACATGACATTGTGAATAAATTTTTTGTTCGAATTAAACCATGGATCCAAGCAAACTTGCTGTTTGAGGGCATGATATTGTTATACTTGATACATACACAAAAGAAAGTAAAATCATTTACTACTTTTTTAATAGCTCCGTGAAATTCATTTTGAATCAACCTAAACTTAATAGATTTTCAATTTAAATTGCATGTCACTGGATTTAAATGTGGGAGAGAGAGATGTATCCATACCATATAGTGTTCTGGGAAATATTTCCTGCCAATTCCTCTTGTATGTGCGCACATGCACATGCACATGTTATGTACGTGTACATTTACATTTACATTGATGATCGTGTTAAAGCAGTTTAATCTCAGGGATCAAATTAACAAGACAAGTGATTCTGAATAACCTTGATAGCAATTATTGCATGTTTTTTCTTCGTTTTTCCATCTTTGATTTTTAAATAGTAGCGTGTCAATGTTGTGTGTAGACTAGTAAACAATCCTGATCAAGTTCAAGCTACTCGTAAAACTAACAAAGCATATCATGTTATTTGTTAGAACTAATATAAAACTATAATCTTCATCTCTCACCATAATTCTGGAGTTTTGATATAATGGTAGAGTGACTTACTTTAAGATAGTATTTGAGAAACCCATGTTCAAATCTCACATGGCACGAATTTAAAGTGAATTTTCTAAATTTGATACCGCTTGGTGAGTCCAGGTTTCGGCCATTGAAAAGACGCTCAACCTACAGGGGCATGTTAGAATATAAAAATATAATCCATAGCCCTCAACATAACTTTGGAATTTTAGTTGGTTGGAGGGACTTTAAGATGATATTAGACCAACACAGGTTTAAATCCTACCGGCCACGAATTTAAAAGCGGATTTTATAAAAATCAACACCGTTGCGTGAGTAAAGATTTCAACCCGTAAAAAACAGCATTCAACCTGCGAGGACATGTTAGAATTACTATAAAACTATAATCTTTGACCATCGCCATACCTTTGAAGTTTTTGTGTTATAGTTAGAGGGACTAATTTAAGATTATTTATACGATATATTTCAGAAAACCCCTTGAACTTTCATGTGATTTGCACAATACGAACATGAACTTAAAGTTCCGATGAAAATACCCTAAATTTTGGCGTTTATTAAACCCTCTTGAACTATCAAAAATTACACCTAGTGAAATTCCATTTTTAGAAAAATAATCTCAACTCATTAAAACGTAAAACAAACTCTCCCTAATTCTTTTCTCATTTTCCTCTATAATCTCTTACCCAAATACTTCTAGAATGAAATGCTCCCCAAATAGGGGAGTTTTGTGCAAATCACCCCAAAGTCTAGGAGGGTTAAAACTTACCCACTATTTGAATGATAAAAAAACTTAATATCAGCAGTACCTTCATGAATCTCACTGGCCTTCTCTGGATCAAAATGCAATTCTTCACAAAGGTTTTGAAGAAAGGCCGCTTTGCTAGGAGCGGCTTCCAGATCACCACCAGAGAAAGCTTGTGAAAGCCGTCTGCGGTAGACCTTGGAGGTAATATCTAACATTATAGACTCCGTCTCACGTTTTCCCAGACCAAATATGTTTTTCAGATGGTTCAATGCTACAAGCTGCATATAAATTACAAAGAAAATGTCCAGCATAAGAAAATAACAGCAGGATTTTTAGCGAGGGACTGCATTATGAATTTATGATTTCATCATAATAAACCTTGATACTCACAAAATTATATTGAAAGATCTAAGGGATCTTCTCCGCATATAATTTTTTTAATCAACAACACTAAAAATCTCTTTTCCACATATAATTATTCTTCTTTCTTAGGCATTGTTGCATACTGTCAAATAGACCTTGGATGCGTGTTCACAGACATGCTAGTTTTTTGTTATATTCAGGTGATTGCCACAAGTATCGCTAATGCAATTAAGATGAACAGACATATTTCCTAAAAGCCATTCCCTAGTCCCTAATGGATCAAAAAAAGAAGGGTCTTCAGCGGGAACAAGAAGCTGATAGCTCTGAAGTTTTTGACGTCATCACAAAATCATCACGGCCATAAAAACTTTTCTCCAAATCAGAATATAGTTGTATGTGAAAAACTCTAAGAAGGCTTCTCATGTCAGAATGGTCGTTGAAGATGTCAACCAGCTCATGGCAAAGTAAAGGGTGTGCTTGAAAGGGACTTGCTAATGAAGATTAATAGGCCTATTGGACGGCGTAACTGAAAAGAAGACAATTATTATTCTTCTTCAGAAACTTTCATGAGAAACAATTTGTTACAACCTGTTAATTTGGTCAGGAAGCACACTATAAGCTTAACTAGCCTGGCCTAGATTTCATGACTAAAGCATGGTTGCATCACCAATTGAAAGCTATATACATGACTATATCAGCATGTTCAAGTACAAGCTCCGGAAATATGGGAGTCTTACCTTTGTTTCATCTAGACGACCATTTGGAAAACATTCGGTCACATATGCCCTATAAAGAAGTTTCAAATCGTCCATCTTCCTATCATTGTCATATTCTCCACCTAATTTAAAGATATCAATGGATGTCATGTATATAATAATACAGAATTAGCAAAAGACAATGAAGTTAGATATGAAGGAATATTATGCATACCTAACAAAGAAACAGGGCCAACCCCCGGGGGAAATCGTCCAGCTTCAGGATGTTTGCTTAATTGTGTAAGTAAATCATTGAACTGCAAAACTGTCTCAAGTTGTTCAATGGCTTGCATGGTCTCCCTGCTGATAGCCCTCTGATTTGTTAGAAGCAAAGTGAAATAAAGCAAAAACTATCCTCACTAACTGAGAAATCTTCAAATAAAAAATATGAATCATATACAGTATAGCAGACCTTAAACTAACACTACAGAAAGTAACATATCAGAAGGCTGGAAATACTTTTTCCTTTTATTACTTCCGTTGATGGTGCACATAACACAGAGAATTGCATGGAAAATGCCTATAGGGGATGCCTTCCACATGAACCAACCAAGCAGTAGTATCAATGAAGAGTTCATGGGTAAAATCTCTGAACTGTCAAAAACACAAATGTGTCTGCAATAGTAAATCTGTAAGTTTCAGTCTATACTCTAAATGTCACTTCATAACTGTTGGGACACCTCCTAATTGGGCTTCTGACACATATTAAGTAGACAGCCTGCATAATCAGGCAAATGTGAGTTGTGACCCTGGAAACCCGATTGCAGGGCATGTAACCACATTAATTAATTAAGGCAAAACCCACTCGTGAGGATCGGCCAACAACTAAACCCAAAACCTCACCCCCAAGCCTAATTTTTCTGATACCCTAATCTTCCTGATAGACTTTCTGGCCAACAACTAAAACCAAAACCTCACCCCCAAACCCAATTTTCCTGACACACTTCCTGATATATTCTCCTAGTGAAATTCTGGTAGCAGTGTGAAAGGGTTCTGAGGTGGCTACAATGAGACAACCGCTGATGCCAACTATATAGTCCATTCAGTACCAGGTCCGTTTGTTCAGAGTTCCGTGGAGGATTTGTAGAATCATTTTTAGCTTAACTGGTTCGTTTAGTATGGCAGACTCATTACAGGTTACTTCTAAAGGACAATGAATGCACATATATTCTTAAAATACTTTTTTTTATCACGGGGTTACAATCTCCAATCCCAGTCTTGAATGCATTCCAAAAAAATACTAACAAAAAAAGAAGAAAGAATCTTCTTAATTTTTTAGACATTTCTCTTTATTTTAATTTCAGACCCATCTTTTTACATCGAAGTAAACTAGTTGCAGAAGAAACGACTGCAAGCCCTTTTATCAGATCTAAAATGTTCAAGCTGAAGCCTCTAGTTGTTCCGTCTACTTAAGTAACAAAGTGACATTCAGATTCTGAAATCTTGCAGTGACCTGTATCCTCACAAGTAATGCACAGATAGTGTAAAGCTTAAATTAATGGCATAGAGGGAAAACCTGAACTCGTGAGTATTAGTTTATACTTCTCAATTGTTTAAGTTTGAATAACAACAAATAATGATATTATATTAGCTGCTATCAGCCTATCACCAATGGTGCAAAAAACTTAAACATGCAGTGCAAATCAGATTATATTCAGTCAAAATAATAGTCAACAAATTAACTGGAAAACAAATTTAATGAATTTTCAGTGACCTCATCCACATATATAGATTTGACAAGGGATTAGATGGACATCAACTAAAATAAACGGTTAGGAGCTTACGTTGCTTTTGTCCGTGACTTCAAGATGTCGAGTGCTTTAGAGATGTTTTCTTCAACTATTTTCCTTATGTGTTCCCTGAACATCTCTGCAGCAATCTACAACGTGTAATGGTCAAATAAGTTTCTGAAACTCATAATTCTCATCTAAATACAACATTTACATTTAAAGATGATGAACTACTAGATCTTTTCTTTTCTTGGGGCAATTATGAGGTTAGTTTGTTGTTCTGGGGAGGGGATTACATAAAGGCAAGCAAAAAATTCGGCAACTTGGCAACTGGACTAAATCAAGGGACAGGTTAGGTTAAGTAAAGGGTGTACCTCATCAGAAAGCTTGTACAGAAGTTGTGCTTCTCTAAGATCGATAAGTTGCTTCTCTTCAATACCTAATACCATACAGTAAAATGCGTTAAGCAGAGCATAAATATTCTGACATTCATATACCTTTTAGTGTTGGCTAAGAACAAACAACCATGTGGACCATAATCATGGCTCCAAATTCCACATTATCTCAACCTATCAAACACAATAAAGTAACAAACTCTTCCATTACAAACTAATGCAAAATGAGCTAACAAGAGAATCGTGGTTTGTGTATCATGCTAAAGCAAGAAGGTTTCTAATAGAACGCCTATATTAAGTTTTTCCGCAGCTTCAATAGAAATATGTACTTCTGATTTTCTTTCAAGCTACTGATTGTAACATGCCAAGTCTAAAAAAAAGGTGGAACGAATATTTATTCAAGATACTATTTCTTTAAGCAGGCTGCAAATTCATGAATTCACAAGGCGCTAACAAGTAGTTCATAATTCAACTATAACAGATGTCCAAATGAGATCAGTAACATTCAGCTAGATATATGTGACCTACAACAAGGATCACATGCAATGAACTTGTTTCTTGTTAGTGAACACTCCACAAGCACAGATAGGAGTAATATAAAAATCACGTGTTACCTCTCCCAATTGAGTTCAACTTCAAACCATACAATCTCTGGGCATTGTCTCGTATAGCAATATCAACCTGGCAATGAAATATTGTTTAAGGGAACCGATGCTTGATGACAAAAAGTATTTACATGTCTTTGACTTCAATTCCACAAAACTAATTTCAACTCAATGGCCAAAAGAAAATCATAGCACCTACTGTGTGATATAAGCCGAGAAATTATTTAACAGATAGGTCATAATAATCAGCATGCTTTTCAGTTAGAAATTGTGGCTTCACACATCAATTGCATTATCCATGTTTATCTACGTAGCTGGTAGGATGCAGAAGCATTAAGTAAACAAGGCACTACAGTTTTGTTCAGAGAAATAAATGCCAAATTGTTCTCTTCATCCTAGGTTGTTTTGATAGGATTTTTTTCAGACTGGTGTTGGGGGTATTGAATATGATATTCAACATAGCACCCCATTTATAGAATTAACTAACATTGCATTGTTTTACATCTCTTATCATCTACACCATGACAAGAACAATTGTGTCTTTGTGGTGCAAGGTGGTCCACAATAGATGGTTCGATCATTAGATGCTATGTCAGGTTTTCTACTTCCACTTTAGTTCTATCCTTGCAATTGCTCCTTTAAATGGGTAAACTAAATAATTCAAAACAGCTCTTACTCGTCTTATCCAATAATGCCTATTATCCCATATCTATGGGATTGGCCACATGAATCCTTTTCTCATTACAGCTTTCTTAAGGCATGTTCTCTGTTATGGCAGCCCTAAAATCACATGCAATCAGCAACTTTGGATACCTGAGAATCAGTGACATTGAAAATACGCTTCCAAGGCAAAAGGAAGCTTGATGCTTCTCCAAACACAAGTGTTGAAACATAGACAAGCTTTTGAAATGCCTGAGCACCAAAGTAACAGTTAGTGTTTACCTTTATTCTACAAGGTTTTACGAGATAGCAAATTTCACATATTAGAAGTAAAAGAAACTTACACTGCGCTGCTCTACATCGGCTTCCCGATCTCCAGTCTCCATCCTAAGCCTGAAAATACGCCTCCCAATCTTAGGGAAACAAAAAAGAAACAAGAAATTTAAGAAAACTAGTAAACTTATACATATTAAAAGAAATGATGTGGAGCTTTGGGACATCGTGTGATCTAGGCCAAAAAGTCCATTGTGCAATGATACATACCTCCATATGGACTGAAGCTGCATCTAGATCATCAATTCCAAGAGCTGCCTTGAACTGGATGATCATCTCAACCTCGTCACCTTTAAGATTTTCGGCTCCAGGAGGAATCACTGAATTTACAAACCTGAAAGAGCAAAGAAAGTTATTAGATCTGACAGTATGAATAATTAGTAACATCTCGGATGTAAAATACTCCTACAGGAAATTAATGGAAGCTAAAATAAGTGCCGGAAAAATAGTCTCATAATCCAACCCGATGATCTCATAATTCAACCCGATTTCTTTTCTTCCCTTAGCTTTCGCGTATATCAAACACAGCTAGAGTTTTGCGCTAACAATTAGCACAGTTCTTTGAGAGCAGAAAGTTGCTACAGAGATAGAATATCAGAAAAACTTTTCCTCTTGCCTTTTAGTTCTATAAACAGGGATCACTAGATAACAGCATCGCATAATCTGTGATAATCAGGATAAGAATAATTTATATCTTCCCGAAAAATTTTGTGATGCTGGTTACTCTAGGAAAATCACCACGTTGTTTATTTTCACCCAAAAGAGTTCCCTCTAATTCTTATTTGCGAACCCCTAAAACCCCAACTTTCACCCAAAAGCACAATTCTCTACTAAAAGGTTTAATAAAAACTTATACCAAAGTAACATGTACATACTTTTTGATTTTCACTATATACAATCGAAGCTATTGATTAGACTCACCGTCAAATGAGATGTTTTTATTTGTGAACCCCTAAAACCCTATTGTATATACTTTTTGATTTTCCCGAAAAAATTTATATCTTCCCGAAAAATTTAGTGATGCTAGTTACTCTTCCCTAAAAACTTAGTGATGCTAGTTACTTTTTGATTTATATCTTCCCGAAAAATTTATATCTTACCTAAAACCCTATTGTATATACTTTTTGATTAGAACACCGTCAAAAGAGATGTTTTTAATTTATATCTTCCCGAAAAATTTAGTGATGCTAGTTACTCTAGGAAAATCACCACGTTGTTTATTTTCACCCAAAAGAGTTCCCTATAATTCTTATTTGTGAACCCCTAAAACCCCAACTTTCACCCAAAAGCACAAGTCTCTACTAAAAGGTTTAATATAAACTTATACCAAAGTAACATGTACATACTTTTTGATTTTCACTATATACAATCGAAGCTATTGATTAGACTCACCGGTTATAGAGATCACAGAGCTCTGCTCTGAAAGCCTCATTTTCTTTGCTCACGCCATATCTGAAACATTGAATCATTGTAAAAGAGGTCAGTTATACAACAATTAAAGTAGATACTCAAAATGGCATGAGCTTCCATAATCAAATATAGCATATTAAAAGATCAAACATATATTAAGCAACCTAAATAATGATCGAAACTTACAAAAATGTAATTACAAGCATTATGTACATTTTCTTCCTATAATAGCCTCAGACAACCAGCAAGAATCTTCTTTTGCAGCTATACCAGCTGAAATTTTGAGCACCATTGTTTCCAAATCCCAAATTTTCTCATAATTCTCACAACATAAACCCCTAACACACCCCAACTTTCACCCAAAAGAATCATTTTTTCAACCAACACAAAAACACAACACAAAACAATATCAGTAAAGCTAAAACCCACTAATGATTCCACAACAAACCCCATTATAGTTAAGCAGCTAAAATAAAAATCCAGTGTTACCAAAGTCCAATCTTTCCAATAATTCCCATTCCATAAACCCCCAACTGTCCAATAACATAAACTCTAAAAAAATCCAATAATTTCCATAACCCCTATTCCCTCAACTCCTAAAGTTTGAATTCCAGTTCTTAACAAAGCGATAAATATTCAAAAAAGAAAATGGCAGCAAGCTCAACGTCAAAAGAGTTCCCTATAATTCTTATTTGCGAACCCCTAAAACCCCAACTTTCACCCAAAAGCACAATTCTCTACTAAAAGGTTTAATAAAAAAAAAAAAATCAAACCCACTAACTTTTGCGCAACCCCATCAACATCCGCCCTCCTCAACTCCGCCGGATCCTCCACCCCCACAACAAAATTGTGC